GCGATGAAGCTACGGTTCTTAACACTGGTATGTTACTGCTTCTGATGTAGTCCTCGAAGTCAGCAGTAGACCGAGCTATTTTTTTACAGGTTATGCTAAACATAGCGCCATGATGGAAATCTTTGAGGATGCCTTGAGAGAAAAGGATCCATATAAGTAGGTTTATGGTGTTTCGATTTTGAGTGCTTAACTTATGTATGCTTTTATTTTGTAGGGCTGCAACTTGTATAGAGATTATGAGCAACACTTTACCAAGGAGTAAACTCGAGCCGTTGGTACAACGAGTTCAAGACAGGTGAGACATGTCTTTTTTATGACATTTTTGAAAGTTTCGTTGATAATTGTTCCTCTTCTTTCAAGCCTTCGTAATCCTCTTGTTATAAAATACCCATAGTATTTAATTTTAATTTCAGATGTAAATTGACGGCAGATCAAGAAAGGATTTTGACTGGATTTGTACGATTACGACCCCAATAATAAGCATGTACATATTGTAGATTTGTAGTTGTAGTTGTTTTTTATCGATAGTGCTGTTGACTAGGTTGAATTTATATTTTCAGATTGTTGTTAGCGTTTGATTGTTATCAGAGACTTTGAACTTTTGATTTTTCTTAATTCCATGATTGTTGATTTGGCAATATCTAATGCAGGACGATGTGCTAGTTCAATGCCCATTCTCTCTGTTTAACTATTTGCGCGGGGTGACGATCTCGGAACTCCGTCCGAATCAGTCTAAACTCTTAAATCAATTTTTTCGACTTGAACTTCGGCTTGGTCTGTGTGACTGAGCACGGTTGCTCTTCGTCTGCTCAAATTCATCATAAATAATAAAGTATTTAAATGATATGTAAACTAATAATATTGACGCCTTAAACTTTGTTTCTGTCGTGACTCATGCGAGATCTTGCAGGTGGGGCCAATTCTTCAAGGACTGGAAGTTTGTTTTAAGATGGTAAATCCAAAAAAATGAAAATTTTATGAAATCTAGAGGATTTTGAACACCACAGGATTGCATAAACCATTTGAAATCTTTCTTAAATACGTCGTTTTATCGGTGTTGATCATCTCTTTAATTATGAAAGTGTCCTTGATGCAGTTAAAGTTTTAACGTTATTTTCCACATATTTTGTAAACAGGTGCAAGTGGTCTACACTGTGGACTCTTGATTTACGAGCCATACTGTTTTTGATATCGTTCGGGTAAAAAAAACAAGCATTGGAGGAGCAGGTAATGATAACGCCAGTACTTCCATGGGGTTGACGATGGTAACAGTGTTGTTGCACGATGATTCAGAGGCCTGCTCACCCGGAGGTTTCATCCAAAAACAGATTTGTCTACTTGCATGAATGCCTCTGCGTTCTATTCAAGACATTTGGCTATCTCATCTGGGGAAACCCGAAATTGGCTTCACAGCGTTCACAGACATTTATCCTAACTATAAGTAAAGCCATCAAGCTTACTTGTCTGTATGTCTGTCGTTCTGTGACGAAACCCAGTATCCACCTGAAAAAAACATTTGGAGAGATAGGCTTGAGTTTGGGATGTCGTCTAAAGAAGATTAACACAGCACCTGAGAAGGCTCTGTTCCCGCTAGGAAGGTGAGGGATAGGCCAGCAAATCAGACGAAGTGGACCTATCCGCGCTGGGCTTGTCCCTAGAAAAGCGCACTATTCACAAAGTGAAGTCATAAGCCTATTCCACTGAAGCCTGAAGGCTAGAAAAGATTGTAGAAGTGAGCGGAAATGGTAGGTGTGTTGGGCTCCAAAATAAAAAAAGTAAATAAAATAATTAATGAATAAAATTAACCCATTGACGACCATGCAGTCCACATGTGGACTGCAGTTGTATTTTTTGTTTTATTCATCTATTCTGCCACTTTCTTTCAATTCTTCTTCTCAAAACATTACACCAGGCCTAAATGAAACTACATACAGCGTGGTCCT